AACATAACATAACATAACATAACATAACATAACATAACATAACATAAGGTAACGTAACATAACATAAATAAAATAGAAATAAAAGCAAAAATCTGATTTAGAGGGGCACCTGGGTGGTTCAGTTAAGTGTCTGACTTTGGCTCAGGTCATGATCTTGCAGTTTGTTAGTTCAAGTCCCATGTCAGACTCTGTGCTGACAGCTCAGAGCCTGGAACCTGCTTCGGATTCTGTGTTTCCCTCTCTCTGCTCCTTCCTGACTTGGACTCTCTCTCTCTCTTTCTCTCTCTCTCTCTCTCAAAAATAAGTAAACATTAAAAAAATCTTATTTAGATCTGGGGATAACATAACCTGCTCATGTTGTAAATAGGAAAGCCAAGTATAATTGCATTTGTAATTTTATGTGTGCAGGAAGTAATTTGCAGTGTTTAGGTGCTAGCCAAGTTGAGCTGAGGAATAGAGATCTCATAGGAAAGTATAAAGTGGTCTTGTCTCCTCAGATGCAAAAGAGGGCACAAAATTCATCCTTTGGAGGGCTCACCCTCTGTTCATATGTATGGATATTTTATTACCTGATTCAAGACATTTGAGTTTTATTTAATAAACCATTGTGAAATTTCCAATTAAAGCCAGTATATTGGGAGACACCTTTATTTCCTCTTCCTCCCAAAATCTGACTGAAAGACAATAAAGGGATGAGAAAGTACTAACTCACAAGGACAAAGAGAGTGGGAGAAGAGACAATAGTGGATAAGAGATTTCAACAAATACTGGAAGACAAAAAGTTGTTGGGGGGATTTCTGGTAAACATGGTAAACTAATAGTCTACATTTGTCTTTGCTTCTTCCAGAAACCCCACTAAAACAACAAGAAGGAGGGGCACTTTGCTGGCTCAGTCAGTAGAGCACATTGCTCTTGATCTTGGGGTCATGAGTTCAGGCTCCACATTGGGCATAGAACTTACTTAAAAAATATATTGGGGCATCTTGCCAGCCCCATCAGTAGAACATACAACTCTTGATCTCAAGGTTGTAAGTTTGAGTCCCACATTGGGTGTAGAGATTACTTAAAAAAATTTTTTTTAATTAAAAAAAATAAAACAACATAAAGGAATAAAAAATCTATGTATTAGATATAGATGTGCCACACCTGAGGGGAGAGCAGTCATCAGCTTTCCATCTAGAATTTTATACCCAGCCAAGCTGTCACCAGAGTAACAGAGCAAAGATATTTTCAGACATGCAAGGACGTAAAAAAACTATCTCCCATTTACCCTCTTTCAATAAACTTTTGGAAATGTACTCCAACAAAATGTGAGTAAAATAAGAAAGAGTGAGATAAGACTCTAAGGAAGAAGAGACTCAAAGTGAGGAAGAGTCAAAGGAAATTCAGAGGACAATGGTGAAGGGATGATTCAAAATGACAGCTGTGCAGTAGGCCCTAGAGAATAACGTGTCCTGATTGGAGTAAGAAAACAAAATCTGAGAGATCTTGGAAAAACACGGAACTGATTCTTTGAATGTAGAGAACATATTGTTGATAAACCTATGACAGAAATGTTGGAGCCCTTGGAAAATTACTTAGAAACAATACTTAGAAAACCAGAGAAATAAAAAAACCAAGTCAATAATTAACTCTAGGAAAAGCAAAGGGTTTTATAAGAGAGGAACCATGGTCATAGAGCATCTACTTGGTTTGGTAGAAAACAATATTTATATGGTCATAATATAAACATTTCCTACCCCCAAATTGCTGTGTAATGATGTTGGAGAGATAGGAGAGGCCAAGTAAGGAGTGGTGTTAGTGTGGGGGAAATGAACGAATAGACATTCTAAAATTGATAAATCAAGAAATAGTAGTTTAAGTTTCTTATTTAGAAGGATGGTAATAAGTACCAGGGAAAAATGTATAAGGTTTGGGGATGGTTGCCTCTGGAGAATAGGACATGAAAACTAAGATGGGGAAGGGTAGGATAGAGGGGTTTTTTTTAATTATGTGCTTTTCAACTATATTATTTTGAATAAATCATTAGATATTGAAGATAGCAATATATACTATATTAGACTATAATAATAAGTCAGTCAGAGAAAGACAGATATATGTTTTCACTCACATTTGGAACTTGAGAAACTTAACAGAAGACCATGGGGGAAGGGAAGGGGAAAAATAGTTTCAAACAGAGAGGGAGGCAAACCATAAGAGACTCTTTAAATATAGAGAACAAACTGAGGGTTGATGGGTGGCGGGGGGGCAGTGGGGGAGAGGGGAAGATGGGCATTGAGGAGGGTACTTGCTGGGATGAGCACTGAGTGTTGTATATAAGTGATGAATCCCGGGAATCTACCCCCAAAACCAAGAGCACACTGTATACACTGTATGTTAGCCAACTTCACAATAAGTTATATTAAAAAAAAAGATCTTTTGAAATTTAAAACATTAATTAAAACTTGCTTTGGTGCACTTTTAGAAACAGTTAGAATCTTCTCATGAAAATGAAGACTTGAGAAAATATTCTCAGAATAGTGGTCAAGAACATAGACTTTGGGGTCTGACAGTTTGCTTTTTAGCCTTAACTCTGCCATGTGCTATGTGACCTTAGATAAATCACTTAACTTCTCTGAACCTTGATTTTTATTGCCATACAATGTGGTTATCAATAATACCTATGTCATAGGAATGATTTGAGAATTAAATGAGATAAAAATCAGAACAATAACAATTAAGGAACTGTGCTGAGCATTTTGTACATATTATCTTACTGAATCTTCATAATCTGTAAATTTTGTGAAGAGTAGACATCACAATGCCTAATTGTTTAATTACTAATTATTTAATAAACATCAGCGGTTTTCTATTAGTATTTTTATGGGCATGAAGATGAATAGGAGAAAGAGAATGAAAAAAAAAAAAGACAAACTCAGTAACATTCTGCTTACTTTGAGGCCAGATCTGTGATATCCTCTGTCCCCCTATTACACATAGTCTTGAATGTGAAATAAGAAGAAGGAAGTCGCCAGGACATCAAAGTTCTGTTCACAAGTGACACTTTTTTTGTTTAGCTCTGCATTGTTTCATTTAACCGTGGTAGGTGTGTCTGACTGGCTCAGTCAGTAGAGCATGGGACTCTTGATCTCAGGGTTGGGAGTTTGAGCCCCAGGTTGGATATAGAGATTACTTACAAAAAATAAAATTGTGGTAAAATATACTTAACATAAGATTTACCATTTTAACCATGTTTAGTTGAGTAGCATGTAGCACATTCCCATTGCTGTGTGACCATCACCATCCTTCTCCAGAACTTTTCATCTTCCCACACTGTGAGACTCCATCCCCCTTAAACACTAACTCCCCATGGCCCACTCCCCCAGCCATGGGCAGCCACAATTCTACTTTCTGCTTCTATGAATTTGACTGTGATGGGTATATCATATAAGTGGTGTTTGTCATTTTATGTCTAAGTTCAATAAACTTAGCATAATGTTTTCACCCATGTTGTAGCATCTCTCCAAACTTTATTCTTTTTCACGGCCGAATAACACTTCATCGCACTATACGCCACATTTTGTTATTCGTCCATCAGCGGACACTTGGGTTATTTCCCCTCTTGGCTATCATGCATAATGTTGCTATGATACATGCAGGTACAGATGTCTGTTTGAGTCCTTGCTTTCAATTCTTTTGGGTGTATAACCAAAAGTGAAATTGCTGGATTGCGTGGTAATTCTACGTTTAATTTTTTGAGGAGCCGCTATACTGTTTTCTGCAGCAGTGCACCGGGGTTATAACTTCTCCCCATCCTCACCACCACTAGGGGTTTTGCACATCCAATCCTGGGTCCATAAGGAAGAGATTCTGTTGCACAGATTTTTAGAAATAGAATTGCCAGGCCAAAGGATATATGCCCTCCAGAAGAGTTGTAACCGTTGACATCACCACTCTTGGTATATGAAAGTGCTTATCTGCCATATTCTCACCAACCTTAGATAACTGCACTCTTAAAATTTGTTATGCTGATGGACCAAAAATATCTCGTTGCATAAATCTGTATTTTTCTGATTACCATTAGAGTATCTTTTTTGCATTTTTATTGGCTACCCATGTAATTTCGCTGTGTTTTAATCAGGTCTCTGTCTGAGGACCTTTGGCTTGTCAACCCACCGCATATGTGGAATGGCCAAACAAGAAGATGAATATGGGAAAGTGTTAGAAATGCATCCAATGACAATAAAATGACTGCAGAGACATTCAAGATGATCACCTTGAGTCATCAAGTTACACTGCATTTAGGAAGTAGAATAGTGTTCTACAAAGAGTTCTATCAAAAACGGTTAAAAATATGAAGTCTTAGTAATTTTTAAAAGCTGCCATTTATTGAACATCAACCATGTGTCATCCTCTGTGTTAAGGCTTTTCAAACATCATTTTATTTCATCTTGGCTTAAACAAGTATCGTGTCATTTTATGTTGTAGAAAGGAAGGTTTCTGGAGACTTGCCCAAGGTCACAAACCGCAGTGAGTGGGTAGTTGGGTCCTAATCCAAATTGGTGACACCCTCACCCTTTGAGAGTGACATCTGAGGGAGGTCCTGGAGACTCATGGACCACGTGTACTATGCTTACCAGTGTCCCAAATAGTACAGGCCTTTGCTTTTGTTTTTGTTCTTGTGTGTGTTTGTTTTTTTGTTTTGTTTTGTTTTTGCAAATCCAGAGTCAGTAGACTTTCGGGAGAGGACTTTATTGCAGTTCTGCTAAAGTGTGTGCCGTGATTCACTGGGAAATGACTTTAGGTGGTGCTTAGGCAACATTCAATGGGACTGAATCACTCAGTGAGGAAGTTATTCTCCGTTCCGTCCCTCTCAATCATCTCATCAAGGAGAGAGTCTCCACGTGGTGCTACCAAGTCTGTAACACCTCTTTGGCATTTGCTGATGTTGTCTTTTCACCAAATGCTGCCACAGATTCAGTGCTTCAGCAGGTACTAATGTCTAGGTAGAATTTCATAGCATTTTTAAAAAAATGATATTTACTTTTACATTCATCATCTCATTGTGGCAAGATGTCTGTTTCTCATTTGAACTAATAAAGCAAATTTCTCTTTTAAAATGAATTTACTTTTGTAAAGATAGTGACTCACTTTACAGAAAATTGTAAGCATACACTGTTACCAATTATGAAATAACTGGACAAAATTGTGAATAAAGGTAACACTTGAGTGAAGTTTTGGAGACACTGCTCCCTGGGTTCATAAGGGCAATATCTAAGCTCCATGGGTGTCACTATTTGTTAACTCTATTCATACTTGCCTGACTGTATACATTATATCACATGGGATGCTTGTTATAAACTTTTTTTTTAAGTTTTTTAATGTTTATTTATTTTTAAGAGAGAGAGAAAGAGATAGAGCATGAGCAGAGGAGGGACAGAGAGAGAGAGAGAGAGAGAGGGGGAGACAGAGAATCTGAAGCAGGCTCCAGGCTCTGAGCTGTCAGCACAGAGCCTGACGCGTGGCTTGAACCATGAACTGTGAGATCATGACCTGAGCCGAAGTCAGATGCTCAACCGACTGAGCCACCCAGGTGCTCCTGGGACGCTTGCTATAAATGCGGATTCCCAGGACTTTAACGAAAGAGCCTTGGTAGGTAGATCTGAGATGGGCTGAGGACTACTGTCATTCCAGCTCAGTTGAAATGGTGGACTAGGCCTGTCTTCAGAAACTAAAAGCCAACCTCTGTACTTCCTATGACGAAAATAAAAAGTGTTCTCAATTTACCAGGTAAACTAAACTGGTACTGATTTATCTGATTCTGTGCACAGAAGCACAAGACAGGGGAAAACCTGTGATCTGTCCCACTCAGCATTTCTAATTTTTTCCCCATTTCTTCAAAGGAAAGGAAAGTCTTAAAAATTAAAGAGACTTGTAAAGGACCATCCGTTCCATCTTTCAGACTCAAATGCAAAAAGAGGTTCAATAACCTCAGGGTCTGGCCTTTCAGAAGGCAATCAAATTGTGGATGATTTGAGGCTCATCCGGGACAACGTGGGCAATTTTGCTCACTCACCACATGAATTTCTTTTTTCTTTTTCTTTTCTTCCTCCCCCTCCTCGCCAAGTCACAGATGGGTGCTGGAAGCTGAGCCAACACCGTGCCCTGAGGTGCAGACAGCTGTGGTGGGGTATGGAGAGGAGGCACAGAATGTGCCTGATGAAACTGACCAGACAGACGTTCCGATCGTGAGCCGGAAGGCAGGTGTGGGCTTCGTTTCTGACCTGGGCTCTCTGTGGGGAAGGTATGCGCCAGGGTATGATAGCGTGCCTTGAATATGCCCCGGACTGTGGAACAGGTTTTGTTTTTTCTGCCAGCAGATGCTTTTTTGTAGTGTTGAAGGGCTTGGTGGAAGAACCAGCACATAGGAGCACATGGAAAATACACGGCCAGGATGTCAGCAATCACGTCACGGTTGCACTCTGGAAAGGGGTGATCACTTTGAACAACGCACACGCGTTCACATGACAATCCATTAAGACTCCAGCCTGGGTAAACAGCGGGTGTTCTTTATTAGATGGCCTCCTTAGTGTATGGCATGCTACAGGCTAGGGCCCTTCACGCCAATTGAACAAACACGGGGTTAACTTTTCAGTTTTCTATGAGGTGCTTTCGATGCTGTTTTTGGTAATGAAGCAGTGGACTCCCCTACAAAAAACAGATTTTTTATTCCTGTGTTTCTTGTATCTGTCAAGATACCTGTTGAGCAGCTGAAGATAGCATATGTTTGTAGGGGTAGTTACCAAGAACAACAAAAGATATTGACTTTAAACACTTTAAAGATTCTCAACGTGTGTGCAGTTTGATCTGTGACATATGAGGCCAGAAGAAGGCATGTCTCTAAAGGGAAAATGTAAAGCAGGAGTTCTCAACTTTGGCTCCACACCAGAATTACCCAGGGGGCCACACTCCAGACCAAACAAATCAGAATCTCCAAGGTGGGGGGTAGGACCTAGGCAGCAATAGTTCTAAAAGTTTCCCAGTGGATTCTCATGTGCAGTTGAGGTTATGAATCATTGCTTTAAGGGGACATTTCCTTACTGTTTTGAAAGTGGAGTAACACTTTGGGGGAAAACAGTATCCATTGACATCTCATTTACAAGGGAATGAAAACAGAAATCACCATCCCATTTGCCTAATTTCCGCATTTTATTTTCTGCCTCGTTTCTAATTGTTTTATGCGAGTATTGGAAATCCTGCACTTTAGTGCCAATGGGGACCAAACAGAGCAGATGAAGATCCCAAGGGAAGATTGGGGGAAAGGGGACTGGAGGGGATCAGACAGTGTGAGCCCCCAAGTTGAGTAGCAGCCCTGCTCTCCTCCTGACGTGGGGGGGGGGGGGCAGACACAGCTCAAGTGGGGCCAGGGTTTTTGATTTCCAAATAAATTGCTCATCAGAATTTTTGTATGTGAAATATCCCATTTTAGATATGTTAGCCACAGATTTTAAAAAAATTGTTTTAAACTCCATGCAGCCCAATGAAACTCATGTACAAGCCAAATTTGGCTGCCTTCCAATTCACCTGGTTTATACGCCTTTTAGGGAGCCGGGATTCTTCTTCTTTATATTACTGTGGTAAAATACACTTGCCATAAGATTTACCGTCTTAACCATTTTATTTTATTTTATTATTTGTTTTTTTTTTTTAACGTTTATTTTATTTTGAAAGACAGAGAGAGACAGAGCATGAAAGGGGGAGGGTCAGAGAGAGGGAGACACAGAATCCGAAACAGGCTCCAGGCTCCGAGCTGTCAGCACAGAGCCCGACGGGGGCTTGAATCCACGGACCGCGAGGTCATGACCTGAGCCGAAGTCGGACGCCCAATCGACTGAGCCACCCAGGCGCCCCTTATTTTATTATTTTTTAATGTTTATTTTTATTTTTGAGAGAGAGAGAGAGAGGGAGGGAGAGACCATGAGCGGGGGAGGGGCAGAGAGAGAGAGGGACCGAAGATCAGAAGCGGACTTTGTGCTGATAGAAAGACCCCTACTCGGGGCTCAAACCCACGAACCGTGAGATCATGACCTGAGCTGAAGTCGGACACCTAACCGACCGAGCCACCCAGGCGCCCCTATTTTAAACCATTTTCACGTGTACAATTCATTGGCAGTAAGTACATTCATGGTGTTTTGCACCCGTCACCTCTGTCTAGTTCTAGAACTTTTCCATTACCCCAGTTGGAAACCCCACACGTATTAATCCCCTCCTCTGGCCCCCTGGCAACCACCAATCTGCTTTCCATCTCTATGGATTTGCCTATTCTGGATATTTCTTATCGATGGAATCCTACAGACCATGGCCTTTTATGTCTGGCTTCTTTCCCTTTGCACAATGTTTTCAAGCTCATCCATGTCGGAGCCGGAGCTGGAGCACGCCTCAGTGCTTCATTCCTTTTTAAGGCTGAATACAATTCCATTGTATGGATATGCCACATTTTGTTTATCCACTCATTAGATGATGGGTAGTTGGGTGGTTTCCACCTTTTGGCTGTTGTGAATAGTGCTGCTGTGAACCTTTTTGTGGGCACAGTTTTGTTTCAACAGAGGGATCATCCTTACATAACAGATGCCCCCATACCACTTGTCCCAACTCTGTGCACACTAAAAGGTACTCACGAGTCGGGGACTTAACTATAGGGGGACCGAATTGTCCCGCTTTGCCTTAGATTGTCCCGGTTTTGGCACTGAAAGCCTCACATCCAGTAAATCAGTAGAGGGAGGTCTGGCAGTGCCTCAACTTGTCCACCAGTAAAAGTCTTCTCAAGGCAAGGCCTAATGGTTTTCATATTTTGACTATGACTTCAGAAATCATTGTGACAAGTATGGGTTTCTTGCAGGTGTCTGCAATCACAATGATTTCAGGACGCTGTGCTTTGGTACAAGCCAGTTCCTTTACGTGCACCTGGAGGATTCCATTCCTTTAGTCTCAGCTTCAGAATTACGTCCTCAGCAGAGCCTTCCCAGAGCCCCTTCCCTTGCACGGGAGTAAAGAACTCCTCTTCTTTACTCCCAGAGCATAGTTATAGTTACCGGATGCATGTGCATGGGTCTCCCCATTAGACCAGGACTCCCTCAAGGATGGTGGAATGTTGCTGATGGTTTGGTCGGCCCAACATCCAACTCCTCTTCTGACAACAGCATTCCCCCTTTCCTTTGGGAGTTCCCAAAGGAATTCCCCTTCCCGAGGGGAAAGCCCTCCCCTAATCTCCTACAACACAGTTTGGGTAGAGTTGATACCACTTCCCCACAACCTAGACCTCACCTGTCCTCATATTCCATCCCCTTGGCTCACACAACTGGCTCAGGAACAGGCGGCCTACACCAGGTTAGTGCGAAACCAACTCTGCAGCTTATGCTGGAGCTGGTCGGAACTACATTGGAACTAAGCAGGAAGGAACTCTATTTGTGATAGGGTTGCTAAAGCTCTCTGTGGCCACCTTTGCCACATCCTAGGGGAAAGCCACCTAAAAGTGCAGCCAGCACAGAAGAAAGCAGAACAGAGGGACAGAGAGAGAAAGGGATGGTGCCGGGCTGCTGCGAGTTTCCTCCCTTGGGCTTCCTGGTTACATGAATCACTTTTTTTGCTTAAACTGGCTTGCTGTGGGGGCGCCTGGGTGGCGCAGTCGGTTAAGCGTCCGACTTCAGCCAGGTCACGATCTCGCGGTCCGTGAGTTCGAGCCCCGCATCAGGCTCTGGGCTGATGGCTCAGAGCCTGGAGCCTGTTTCCGATTCTGTGTCTCCCTCTCTCTGCCCCTCCCCCATTCATGCTCTGTCTCTCTCTGTCCCAAAAATAAATAAACGTTGAAAAAAAAAATAAAAAAAAAAATAAACTGGCTTGCTGTGGGTTTTCATCTCTCGCAGTGAAAAGAAAACTGAAGAATGCACTGTGCTGTATTAATGTTTAAGTCCCAAACTATAGCATCGTCCTAGCACATCATAGGCACTCAAGAAATGTGCGTGTCAATGCAGACTTTCGGAAGTATACCGTCACTAGGTTGTTTTCGTAATGAAATAATATCGATGCAAGAAGAGTCAGGAAGGGGGGTCGTGGAGAAGGTGGAGGCCTCCCACACGGCTGGCGGGAACATTAAATGGGGCAAACAGCTACGGAAAGCAGTTTGGCAGTTTCTCGAAAAGTTAAACAGAATTATCGTATGACCCATGAATCCCAC